TAATAGTAAATAAAAATGGATTTTAGTATTGAAAATATATTTCAAATAAATTAAAGAAAAATTAAAAATGAATTCGACCATAGTATTAATATAGTATTAATAATAATACTAATTTTTACATGCACAGTTTACTCATTATTTTGTTTAATAATTATCAATGTTGCTTTTGTCAGTCTAAAATCGTAGTAAAAGTTTTATTCGTATATTTCGTTGGGTGATATTAATTCATGTGTCGGAAAAAAAGTTGGTATTTGGTTATCCTCGGGTATGAAATTCTCGCTGCGTCCGCTATCGTTTTTCCCTTTTGTAAATTTTTTTTCCACAGGTTCGCAGAAAAAGGTAGGTATATGGAAGCCATTTTTAACCGTACCATCCCGTCGGAAGAAACCGAAGGCGATGTTTCGCGGTTATTGGCGGGTCCGCAATAGCCCCCAGCTTTTTAAGGCTGTCCAACCAGTGATTTATATGCAGATGCATGAACCAAACTGTGTTTCGTTCAGGGCCCTTCACTCGAGTTTCGGGCCCAGGGACCGTGTGCGCGCGGGTGCCATTAAAACTGCCCCAAGTCCACACACGGATGCGCAATGGCGCAGCAACCTCAGAAATTCTACTTTTTTTAAATCTCTCTTACCTGCGGAATATTCCGCAATTTTGCTAGACCACCGAATTTTCTTCCATCTTGAAACATTCCTTTCCACGAGAAGAAGAAAAATTAATAGAAAATAACTAAAAAAGAAATACGAAAAGATTTTTATTTATAATTATGAAACAAACGTAAAACGTTGACGTAAGAGAATAATTAAAAATTTTTAATTATTAAATTATTAATTTTAAACTTTTTAAAATTTTATTTTGCGAGGATATCGCACGTTATTTTTAATTAAATATCTACTTCTTGGAATAACTCGGTTGGCTATAATGAAATTTGCGCCAGGGAAACTGGCAGACATATTATGATAATAAAAGCAACAGTGATATAGTTTATCGGGGAAAAAATATCGAATGAAATGACAGTGCGTTCTAAACCTGTCTTAATGCTGTGTTACTAGTTCTGAACCATACGAGATAATTTCGAAGGAACTACACCGGTTGTTACTTATCGACCAGTTATGGAGAGGTGATGTCACTGCAGGATATATATTTATAAAAATTTCTGACACATCGTTGATCGGTTATATATTTACATAATAAATTGAAAGGAATATTTATAGGCACTATAATGTATTGACCGTGATATAACTAGCGTGTCAATATGCTCTATTATATTTCTGCATCTAGAAATATAGATAACAGTCGATATTATGTCAATTGAAATAAAGATTTTGGGTTTGGTTGGTCAATCGTTCAGCGAAATTTAGTTCAACGAAAATTTAATAAAAACGAAATTTAAATAATTTTCGTGGAATTAGTTAAAATTATAAATTAAAAAGTTATTGTAATTATACAATATATAATTTCTAATATACAGGGTGTCTCCAGCGTGTTTTCACTCAACCTATGTCATTTTGATCTATTAGTATAAATAGGAACAGAATGTTATATAAAAATAGATCGTTTGAAAATTTATTGAAAATTTGTAACAAATATTTGAAATACATAAATAACGGTAGAACTTGCACTACTACTATAGAGGATCGAAATAGGTTAATAATAATTCGCTATTAACACCAATATTTAATATTTCAAAATATTCGTTGTTTTGTATATGACAATACAATATCAATCGCTATAAAAGGAAATCAAATTACACGAAGTTTACCTTGATTTCATTTCATTTTAATAAATCAGTCACGAGTCCACTACATATATTATTCGACACATTATCATATTTTTCATAAAAATATTTCATATCTTTAATATCATACCTTTTTAATAAGCGAATATTCGTTTACATAACTCTTACCCATGACCGCAGGACATATTAATAAAGTTTGCCTGAAAAATGCTCTTTATGTAACTGAAATTATGGTTACAGGAATAAACATTAAAATACGGGGTTTCTTGCATAAATTAAAACACGAATTCGGGAAAGCACAAGAATAAATAAGCAGTGTACGTGCACAACGATATTCACGATTTCTGCAATTTCAATTTTGCCAAGACACGTGTGCTGGAAGGCAAAGATGGGAATAGACGCATCCCTGATGGTACACAAAATAACCCTGTGATCTTTTATCCCACCCTTCACAGTCGGTGGGTATATTTTCTTAGCTTTCTTAAGCCACGATTAATGTGCGTTGTCAGATTCGTTGAAGCGGTTTTGACTTCTTCGAGCATGCTACAAAAATCCATCCCGATGTTTACGCCCGAGCAGGCCAGCGCGAAGTCATGTTTTGCCATCTCAGAGGAAAAAGCAGAAGAAAAAGAAAGAATGGAAGAAGAAGCAAAAGAAGGAGAAAACAGAAGGAGCGTGCTGTGCACGGGGGGGCTCGATATGAATAATGAAGAAGAACGTCGACTCGAAAAGCTCGCATCGACGTCGATGGGATATCTTCTTGCCAGAAGCCGGAGATGTTTTTCACCTACACGATCATCTTCCACGGTGCAAAGAAATTTCTCGCTTATATTCCCGTGTAACAGTTCCGTCCAGCTTTTTATCTAGCTTTTCAGTCTGGGCGAACATGCTACCGAGGAATGGGCAACACAGATTCAGGCCAATATTTTGACAATTCTTCGCTCAACCTTGATTCTACCTACGTGCAATCTCCTTCTGTTACTTTGTGTCGTTTTTTTAATTAATAGAATTTTTTAATTTTTCTATTTCACATATTTTAAAGGTGTAATTCAGATCAGATTTATAATAATAATAAATGTAATAATAAATATTGTAATGTAAAGTAATGTAAAATAGTGTAATAATAAATATTGTAATGTAAAGTAATGTAAAATAGTGTAATAATAAATATTGTAATGTAAAGTAATGTAAAATAGTGTAATAATAAATATTGTAATGTAAAGTAATGTAAAATAGTGTAATAATAAATATTGTAATGTAAAGTAATGTAAAATAGTGTAATAATAAATATTGTAATGTAAAGTAATGTAAAATAGTGTAATAATAAATATTGTAATGTAAAGTAATGTAAAATAGTGTAATAATAAATATTGTAATGTAAAGTAATGTAAAATAGTGTAATAATAAATAATATAAAATTTGGTGACAATAAATATAGTTAAATCAATGATAATTAGATTAACAGTGATAAATAAAAATTTACGTATTATAATTTCTTTAATTTTTTTGAGAAGTAATTCATACGACAATCGTATTTATATTTTGTTAATTTATAGATCGGAGAGTATAATAAAAATGCAAAATGGTAAAGGAAGGTTGATTTTTGGCAACAGGGAAAATGATAAATGAGTATGTTATTTTTTGTGTTTGTCACTGTAGTTTATTTTGAAATGTACAAGCCAAAGGTAGGCTATAGTACGCCCTTGGGTCGAAAGACTCAGACAGATCTGGTCAGCAAGATTGCAGATCCAGGAGTCAGTGCCCTTTACTGTCTGAACGGCAATACCCCAAGCAAGATTTCGTCTTCTTAACGTGTTGAAAACATTGCCCTGCACAAATTCCGTGTTCAAAGATCTCTTCCCAAAGGTAACAATTTAAGTCCACTCCAAACAATAGGAACAGTAACAAGTTCAAGAGAAAATTGTAATGTTTAAATGAATTTATGTGCGTTCATACGCGAAAGTGCTATAGGTTTATATTTGCTGTTTTTTAACAAATGAAATATGCAGACATTTTTTAAATATGTTTTATGTCTAGCAGAAAGTCTCGAAATTATATCAAGAAAATTAGAAAATAATTCTATAATATGTATATGACATTTACAGTACATTTATTGTAAATATAAACTATTATATATTATATAATTATATAATATTATTATAAATGGGAATTATGTATTATTGTATAATTCCTATTTATAATATATTAGTTTAATATATTATAAATAGGAACGTTAGTGTATTTAATGAAAAATAGTCTATTATGTGTTAAAAGTATTCACCGTGTTTTTGGTATACATTTTTTACCGTACATTACATTCGTATACACTTGTAATTTATTGGTAGTAAATCTTTGTAATAAACATCTTATAAGAACAGTATATATCATTATATAATATTTATAATATATATATTTAGTAAAATTTATTAATTTACTAATTTATTGATTACAAATTTATTCATTTAAAACTTACCAATATATGTATTATATTAGTAAAATTGGAAAATACTTCAGCAATGCATTCGATAATACAGTGCATTTATTACTAATTTATTACAAATATTTGATAAAGTACAAAAATATTCAAATGCATTGTATAATATCAGACAGAAAAGCATTAATTAAAATTTTAGAAGTTTCACTAT